GACCTATATACCTTTTCAACTACCATAGACTCACCCACCGGAGTAGAAACGCGAATAGGCATATCAAGTAATTCACAATGTAAATTTAGACCATTAACAAATGAGGAAGATACATAAGAAAATGTGGATCCAGGATCAAATAACCCGCTAAGATAAGCAAGAACCTGGTTAATCATATCTGGGGTAGGTTGGGGTGGTAATTCCTCATTCTTCACTTGTTCATTCTCCCCTTCCTCACCCTCTCTTACTACTTCCTCGGTCGGTGGAGGAGTCACCGCCCTAGTATCAGAAGGGCTAGGTGCTCGTCCTCTTCCTCTAGAGGACGTCCTCCCACGACCTCTACCACGGCCTCTTGCCGCTACTCTTCCCCGAGCTACAGCCCCAGTGGCTGGCTCAAACGCTTCTTGTCTTGCCGATGTTGGTGTTGGCGCAGTCATTGCTCTAGTTGTAATTATCCGCGAAATAGAGTGAAGATGGTCAGATACCAATTTGTATCATCTAGATACCAATTGGATTCAAGTAGTAGCACGAAAGAAAGAAAGAAAGAATGGAATTTTCTTAAAGTCTTATAGCCTCTCAAAGAAAAGTAAAGGCGTCCCCCTACCGTTCCTTAAGACTCTACTAGACTCGTTCTTGTGTGATGAGACCAACAAACCTAATGCTCTGATACCAAGTTTGTCACGACCCAAATCCGGGCCGCGACTGGCACCCACACTTACCCTCCTATGTGAGCGAACCAACCAATCTAAACCTTAACATTTCAATATAATATAAACAGAAAGTAATGCGGAAGACTTAAACTCATTAGTAAAATCAATAACTATTATTTTCCCCAAAATCTGGAAGTCATCACCACAAGAACATCTACGATCAAATGACTAAACTAAGAGTACTCTAAAAGCTAAAAATACATAAGAAGCTAGTCCATGCCGGAAGTTCAAGGCATCAAGACTTGAAGAAGAAGATCCAGTCCATGCTAGAAGCATTAGCTCACCCTGAATTTCCGGTGTAGTAAGACTGGCTTGAATTACTGTTCAGTCGAAGGCGACGACACGTTTGCTGCACTCCACAAATAAACAAGAAGAAAACATAAAAGTAGGGGTCAGTACAAAACACGGGTACTGAGTAGATATCATCAGCCAACTCAAAATAGAAAACAGTATATATCAGATAATATCATAAAATCAACTAACCCTTTCTCCTTTTTCGAGGAGAATTAAAAGGGAATGTGATCCCCTCTATTGTAAATGCAGCATTTACAATTACCATAGCCCTTGGTTACAACACCAAGCTCATCAATGAGGACTCATGCCTCCTCATCATACTCATTTGGGAATTAGGTTCATTAGATTGAATATATTAACATCTTTCAAGATTCTTTATCTTTATTCCCCTCGTGTCGGTACATGACACTCCGATCCTCATATAATATCCTGGTACCGGAACGTGGCACCCGATCCATATTCTATCCTGGTGTCGAAACGTGACACCCGATCCATATTCTATCCTGGTACCGGAACGTGGCACCCGATCCATATTCTATCCTAGTGTCGAAACGTGACACTCCGATCCTCATATACTATCCTAGTATCGGAACGTGGCACCCGATCCATATTCTATCCTGGTGTCGGAATGTGACACCCGATCCATATTCTATCCTGGTACCGGAACATGGCACCCGATCCATATTCTATCCTGGTGTCGGAACGTGACACTCCGATCCTCATATACTATCCTGGTACCGGAACGTGGCACCCGATCCATATACTGTCCTGGTGTCGAAACGTGACACTCCGATCCTCATATACTATCTTGGTACCGGAACGTGGCACCCGATCCCCTAATCTCACTACTTCCATTCATCAAGCCTTCTTTTATACCAAGGCATCATCATTAACAAAGTAGATTAGGGTTTCTTTTCAAGATTTGGGATTCAATAGCTTCATCATGCTTATTTATTCATAATTACATAATCACATCATTCATGCAAGCATACAATTAAGCATATAGAAGGTTCACAATACTACTAACACATATCATTCGCTATTAAGAGTTTACTACGAATAGCATGGAAACCATAACCTACCTCCACCGAAGATTAGTGATCAAGCAAGCAAATTTTCTCCAAAGCTTTGTGTTTCCCCTTCTCGATCGTCTCTCTCTCTATCGATTCCCTTCTCTCTCTTTTTGTTCTTTTCTTTTTCTTATTCCAACCCTCTTTCTTTTGCCCTAATTAGTATATAATTAAGAATAAAAGATGGCAATAATGCCCCACTTATTAACTTAAGGTTACCTCTTTTAACCCCCAAGTAATTAGACTTATTTACATTAACCCACTAACTTTATAATTAAGGCAAGAATAGTCAAAAACGTCCCTTAAAACGTATCAAGAAATCCGACCCAGACTGGTCTGTCCTGATGCCCGTCACAGAGTTCAGAGACTCAATTTCTCTGAAGGGTCTGTGACGGTCCGTTACACCTGTGACGGTCCGTCCTGCCATTCCGTCACAAAGTTCAGAGAGTCGATTTTCAGTACCCAATTTCAGATTTTCTAAGTGTTTTGAAACGAGACCCTGCGATGGTCCGTCGTGCCCATGAAGGTCCGTCGTGGGGTCCGTCGTTTCTGCCAGTTTCTCCAAAATTGAAGTCTGCTGCTCAAAACGACTAAACAGGTCGTTACATTTGTAGTCTAGTTTAGAGGCTTATTTAAGATATAGTTAGTTTCAGCTCAGTATTGAGTTAATTTTTCTTTTGTATTAAATTCATTGTTTTCAAATATCTCCGTTATAGAATATGGGTATTCCCCATCTTTTCATTATAAGTTATGATTTAGCTTTGGAATCAGTTAATTATCTTTAATATGCTCATGATCATGCTAGGAGGGTTAGCTTAGGATCACTTGTGGTCCTAGGTTCGGTGTCCGCGTCCCGAGGGTAGCTCGGGGTGTGACAAATATTACATGAATTCTTTATGCTTACCGGTTTGACATCTCTGTTTTGCATTTTTTTAATATAATTTTATGATTTTTAAACTTTACTAAGTTCTCATTTGTTGAATTGATAGACCCTTTTAATGATGCTACTGGAGCCATCTTTACCAACAGCCTCCCCACTGGTTAGACATCTTAGCCCCAATGTCTTTGAGTCCTTTAGTGTTTTCTATTTGATCACTAAGAGTTAAAACCTATGCAAAGAGAAATCTTTCCACTGGTTAGACATCTTTCCTTTATTTATTTTTTTCTTATATACTAATATTTTATTTATCATTGCACCAATCATCATATTCCTTTCAAATGATGGAATGTGAATCTATACGTTCCATCATCTACCAACCACAAGAGAAAAATTAATTATATTTATGGTGTAGGATTAACAAAATTTAAATATCCACTTTTGCAACGTAGTAAAGTACAAATCAAATTAAACTCAATTGTAATACCTAAGTTATCTCTCTCTATGTGTGTGTGTATATATACATACAATTAAACTCATTGTAGTTATATATCTAAAATTGAATAGATAACTACAATGTGTCGAACACTCAATATTAAATAACTACAATACAATATAAATATCCACTTTTCTGTTTGTTCGAATCGATCTTCTTCTTCAAATAGCTCTATGCTAGTCCAAAAGACTCTTTTTCTAATGGATAAATTTTAAAGGAATTATAATCAACCAATTTTTTTTAAATTTGGTTTGAATCCGCTTTCTCCAATGAATCTCTTGCCAGTAGCACTGAGGGCACGAGCTAAACTAAATTGCACTGCAACTTTGGCTCCTTTCTCAATTGAGTTTATTTGATCAAGCTTATCACCCTTTCAATAGTTATGTTCTTATTCTTGATCACCTTGAGATAAAAAAAATCACAATATTGAAAGACTTTTATCCTTTTTTTTATTCTTAGCACATTGCAACAACATATAATAGATCATTTATTCATTGAATTTTAAGTGTTTCAACAAATTTCTCAAGTGTTCAAAACATATTTGCTTGGAATCAACATAAATCTTTTGATCAATTAATTTTTTTCAAAAATGGTCATGATAAACTGTCATCCTTACTATTACAAAAAAAAAATCCTTAGTGATCAACTTTATTTTAATTAGTGCTGCACGTACTAAAAACATATTCTTTAATGATTTTCTAATTTTACAATCTATAAGCAAAAATAATTTTGTAGTGATTAATTTATCGATCACTAGTGTATTAACTAAAATAGAATAGTGCATATTAAACAGGCAAAACAAGGTACAATAATTCTAGACTAAAATAATGCAAAAGAAAGCAACGAGAACACCACTAGGTCGACTTAAACGCAAAAAATAATAATTTAAAATCGATAAACAATATAAACATAAAAGTTCAGAAAAATTATAACTATTATTCACAGCAAAACACAATTAAAGATATGAAATCAAGAACACGAACTCAACATATATCAATTTTTAACAATTTTAATCAAGAACAATCAAATTTTCAAAAAAGTTTAAAATTCACTAAACTAAAATGCAACAAAAATAGAGTAAAATGGATCTAAAACTGTCGAAAAAAGATAAATGAACTTACCTGAGCACAAGAGGATGAACGCTTCAACTTGGGAAAGAAGATCGGAGAAAAAATAATTCAAACTATTTGAGATACTCAAAAAATAAGGATGAAGAGAGGTTGAAGAAGAGAAAGAAAAATTGTTGAATAGTTAAATGAATTTAAAAAATGAAAATGTTTGATAAAATATAAAAAGGGCCTTAATTGTATTTTTATTAACTTGTATTTGTCCCCCAATTTCTAAAAGTAAAGAAAAGGTCTTTGACCCTACAACTCAACCCCACTTTTTCACTTTTTTTTACCTAACCCTAAATATTAAATAAAAAAGAAACTAAGTGGCTATTGTCCAAATTAAGTTTTGAGAGTATCCCCCATTCCAATTAATCTCCTCCTTCTACTATATTATTCGCGTACCCATTTTACCTATAAATTCTCTTTAACTATCATTTTTAATGAATTTATTCATCTTGAATTTTTGCAATATCAATTCATGTGATATTTTCTTTATCTTTTTAAACAAAGGTGATTTTATTGGAATATATACTGCAATGATGGTTCCATAGAGGATCATTTTATTTAAAAAGAAGTTCAATACAATACAAAGGTATGTTATATGAAAGCAATATCCTCTGAGGTGAAACGAAAAAATATCCCAAAATCTATTAGGGACAGCTGGAAGCCTCTTTACGATACTAATGATTTTAAAGATAAATCTACAAAATGTTCAAATAATCGAGAATTGAGAAGTGTGGTGAAGGATCTGGTCCCTCACGCCGTATTGGAGGCTCCCGGACTCACCGAGAACATGCAAGACAAATGGTACAATCATCTTTATTTTGTCAAGTTATTGTTTTTTCAAAGTTAATCCCTATATAATAACTTTGATAGATGTGATCTCAATGTTAGGCAATTGTACTTGGACGGCTACCTCATCCACACAAACTTTTGAAAAGGACACATACAAAAGGAAACGATGAGTTTGTGGATCTGAAGTCTAAGAGCACATATGTAAGTAATGTCAAACATTGTTGATTATCTTTCTCAATTTTTGTTGATGATTTGCTTAATTATTTGTCGTATTTATCCCAATCATCAAGCACATATTATAATATTGGAGGTCAACAACGAGGAAGTTTAATGTTGTGGTTATATGAAATTGAATCTGAGATCCTTGCATCTCTATATATAAGTAATAAAGGGTATCTTTATTATTACAGAAAATTGTATAGAAATATGTTACTGTGAATCATAAAAATATATTAAGGACTAATATGTGCGCACTTTCTTCCGTATTTACAATTTACTTATTAAAAGTTATATATTTTCTAGCCTTTTGAGTTTGATCATAGAAAATAGGTTCCCATATGTAGCTTCCACTGGCTTTATTTTAAACTGTTTTTAGTGTGTCCTCCTTAAGTACCTTCTCAAGAACCCTCTTTGTTTGTCCAACTCGCATAATATTTTAATTTATAAATATTCTTGAATCCTACTAGGCTTGATATTTGTATTTGTTTCACAAATGCAAATGGTTCTTTATCACTGGTCTGCATCTCAACCTGATAGCTTCTTAGGAGAACGTGTTAGCAAACACGAATTTACTGCATGACCTAACAAAAGAGGGTGCCTTTCAAAGTGTATGTTATTGTTTAGAAATTTTTGAGGGACAGATAACCCACAAATAATAGGATTATCTAGATGAATATTATCCAATGTGCCAGATGTTGTTGTTGCTCCTCCTCACCTGCTATTGAAAGGAGGATATGTTCTATGATGGTGTGCTTTCCAAGAAACATGTTTAGCATTCATTGGTAAATGTATCCTATATAAAAATTTCAGTTAACTGATAGAAATTCAGGAGTCAGAATTCTGTGATTGCTTTGATCTCTAGTATTATCCCTATCAATAATTAATACTTGGGAAATTTGGAGAGTAAGATGTGGGATGAATTATAGTACTCAAAAGATGTATGTAAACAAGTCTATAACTTTTTACTCTAAATGAAGTAGAAAAATGGTAGTTCCAGAAGATCAACTTGAGACCCAATTGGGAGGAGATAACTTGAAACTTGGACATAAACATTAGGATTGATAAGACTATTTTGTACACTGAATCCAACATATATGTATTTGTCAAATACATGCTAATTTCACTTATAGAAATGATAAGTTTGGTGGAGGGGGTATTAAAAAGTGGGTTGAGGGCTCTATTTTTCTCTTTCGTATCAATAGGTGTGTAGATAATAGATTAAATCCTGAAAGTGATTATAAGCATCTAATTCAGGCAAGTTAAGGGTAAATGTATGCTCCTTGGAGTAACATAGAAGTTAACGAAGACATTAAGAAGCTTAACATGTTTACATGGTTTCTTAGACTTTCTTTTAATTTAATTTATTAATGGTTTCAATAGTCATACCTTGAATGAGCTCTATATCCAACTGAAGGCGTACATGAACATGGATAGATGAAACTAACACTAAAACAAAAACAACTTTTAGCGGCATTAAATATTGACACTAATAAAGAGTGCTAAATTCTTTACCAGCATTAGTTAAGTGCCATTAGAAGCAATATTGCTAAAGGCTTTAGGGACATATACAAAGGGTGACAATTGCCACTAAAAAAATAACGTGTGTATATATATATAGTGGCAATTAAGAATTAACTATCGCTAATGGTCATTTTTGTTGTGGTGTAACCAACCACTCATATAGTAAAAAATAATAATGCAGATATCATATTTTGATCCACTTTAAATCTTCTAATTTGTTGGTAGTCACTAATGTAGGCCTCTCTATCCCCTTATCAATGATTTTTATCTCATCTCTCCTTGTAATTATGAAAATTTTATTATCTTCAAATCTTACTAGGAATGACATTGGTTGCAAGGGGATCTCAAAGACCATTGTATAGGTGATATCAATTCTACCTTTATTCAATTTTTTATGTAATGCAAAGAATAGAAAGTAAATTACCTTACAAGAGATTAATTTTTCCGTGTCAAAACATAAGAAGAATTTTTGTAGAATGTGATGTAATGACTTTTAATGCCATTAACATCTAGTATGAGATATACAAATTAATTCTTCACTTTGAAACTCCTATATAAGCATGACATTTGTGAACATTAGTAGACACCCAACTAAAGGAAAAAAAAACATTTCCCTCCTCTCTTCTTATTCTTAGAATATTTTTGGGTGATTGGTTTTAAGCAACCTCCAAACTCTCACCTACGACTGCACGTGTTTGAGAGTAACTGTAGAACCTTGGAGAGCGACCGGCTATAACAATTTGCACCGTAATCGAACCGAAATCGCTTTCAAGACAGTTGTTTGTCACGATACGATGTTTGTGATAAGTTATTTATTAATTTATTAATTTATAATTTTAAACGAATATCAGTATTTTTTCCAACAATTTGAAAGCGATTTACCAACATACAATATTTATAAATGACTATTTCTTTGAACAAAATTTTTAATGATTTGTCAAAAACTTGAGCCTTTGAATGGAAATAATTTTAAACGATGGCCACAAGAACTTTTAATTTTCTTTGAACAATTAGAAGTTGATTATGTTTTATTTAATGAACTTTCTATGAGTGGTTCTAACACAACTACTAATTCTATCAATGTTTTGGTTGTTGATGATGTTGTCAAAAAGAAGTTTTAAAAGGATAACAAACTTGAGAGAGGACATTTACTAAATCATATGGGTAATTCTTTATTTGATTAATTTTCAACCTATAAATTTGATAAAGAAGTATGAGTTAGTTTAAAAAATATGTATGGTGCTGATGATGCAAATAAAAAAAAATGGTGTCAGTCAGTGGATTAAATTTCAAATGGTATATAATACGCCCATAATGGAACATGTTCGCAAATATGAGAACTTGACAGGTGTTGTTCTCAACAAGGATATGAAGATGTGTAAGATATTTTAGGCTAATGTTCTACTTGAAAAAATTTCACCATCTTGGAGTGATTATAGAAATCAATTAAAACATAAGAAAATAATTTAACTCCAAGAACTTATTAGTCATATGAGGACTGGAGAGGCGAACCGTCTCAATGTAAGATGGAAGAACTTTCTCTTAATTCTTCTAAAGCTAATCTTGTTGAATCTTTTGGTACTATTGTGAAAGATGGGTTCAAAGGCAAACAAAATAAAGTCTCGAAAAAGGAAATATGAAGAACAAAAATCAATTCAACAAGCTGGAGAGTCAAATTCAAAAATTTAAGGGTTCTTCTTTTGTTTATGAAAAAGTTGGTCAAAGAGCTGTCAAATGCTATAAGAAAAAAAGGGCAAAACTCAAAGAAGGACAAATGATATACAAGCTAATCTTTCTGAGGATAATGAAGTGATTGTTGTCGTTGAGGCAAATCTAGTGACTAACAAAATTGACTGAGTTCTAAATACGGGCTCCTCAAGACATTTACGTGTCAATAAAGAGTTATTACATGACTTTGAGGAGTCCACTGATGGAGAGTGTGTGTATATATGGGTAACTCCACTACTGTTGTAGTAATGGATAAAGGAAAAAATTTACTTAAATTAATTTCTGGAAAGACATTATCCTTGAACAATGTTTTGTATGTTCCTCTCCTCCGTAGGAACTTAGTTTCCGCAGCACTCCTCAACAAAGTAGGCCTTAAACTTGTTTTTGAAGCTGATAAAATAATTATTTTTCGTGGAGGGGACTTTGTAGGGAAAAGATATCTTAGTGGATGATCATTTGTAATGAACATTGTTCAAGAGATTGTCAATAATGTAAGTATTTCAAGTTCTGCTTATATTTTTGAGTCTATTAATTGTTAGACTAGGTCATGTTAATATTGCTTCTATTAAAAGACTAAGAAAAATGAAATTAATTCTTCTGATAAAAATTGATGAGCTTTCTAAATGTCCTGTGTATGTAGAAGCAAAGCATACCAAGAAACCTTTCAAATATATTATTAGTAGAAAGACTGAATTACTTGAACTTATACATTTAGATTTAGCAGATTTCAAGTACACTGTTAGAAAAGGTGGAAAAAAGTATTACATTACTTTTGTTGATGACTTTTCTAAATACACTTAGGTATATCTTCTTAAGTCAAAAAATGACATTGAAAGCATATTTTTGAAATTCAAAGCAGAAGTGAAAAATAAATTAGACAGGAAATCAAGAGATTTAGATCTGATAGGGGGTGAATATAGTACTAAAACACTAGAAATTTTTTGTGAGAAAAATGGTATTATAAATGAGATTACTGCTCCCTATACTCCCCAACAAAATGGTGTAGCTGAACGGAAAAATAGAACCCTTAAATAAATTATGAACTCTATGCTTTTAAGCTCTGCTCTATCTGACAATATGTGGGGCGAAGCAGTTTTGTCTGCATGTTATATTCTTAATAGAGTCCCGCATAAGAAGTTAGACAAAACCTCATATGAATTGTGGAAAGGGTTTACTCCTAACATGAAATTTCTGGAAATGTGGGGGTGTTTGGCTATGGTTGGTCTACCTGATTTAAACGAGTAAATGTTGGATCTAAGACTTTTGATACTTTCTTTATTGGTTATCTTTTGATACTTTCTTTATTGGTTATGTTCAAAACAGTGTTGCATATAGATTTATGTCACTAAATGACCATTTTATTTGTGAATCTAGCCATGTAGAATTTTTGAGCACATTTTTCCTTTAAAAATTTATGTGTCAAGTGATGTGCAAAACAGTGTTTCTACATCTACATCAGTTATTCTCATGGTGTGCCTTCTTTGAATGTTAGTTGTTGACATTCCGAGAGAGGGCATAACATCGCGGTGACTCAATTTAAAAGGAGTTAAAATAATTTTAAAAGGGTAAAAAAGGTTAAAGGAAAAAGGAATTAAAGGGAGCCACCTAATTTTTCGGAAAACTAGGAAATGAATTAACAAATTAACTTAAAAGAAAGTTTAAGAAACTAATTTGATTCAAGGTAAGGGGTTTAAATTATTTCGAATAGAAGGAGTTAGACATCCTTCGAAATCCACAACTGTGGTACCCGACTGATTCATTTTTTCAACCTGAGGTGACAAAAATAATATACAAGTATAATGAATATGTGATATATGAATAATAAAATAAAGCAATAATATAAGAAACGACCTAAGTTTTGCCCATTGTCAATAATATAAATAACGAATAAGATATGATTCGAACAACTTCTTTGGGAAGCAACTCTGTGTACCTATAAACACGTAGTAAAAGTGTTGGTAAAAAATAAATATGAATAAACATGAACAAACCAAATAATAACTTAAAGATAAATTTCTCTTATAAACATGGAAGGCAACCAACGCTAATTTCTTCATTGGCTAACTCTAACGATTTCTATTTAATATGACCTAACATCAACAAAACATAACAAGTTATTCCAAGAAATCATGGAAAACAACAACCCGTAATTCATAAGGCAATCAACAAAACTAAAACAAAATAATTGGAAATGGAAACAACAATAGCATAATAAACAAAATTAAAAAGGGAAACTTTCACATCTAGCCACTTAAAAATAATTAATTACTCTCCATATTATATTTTGATAATTATAATTTGTGGTTGAATGTTATATAGAGGAGAGAGGCGATCAAAATTGGGAGAGAGAGAGGGGAGAGGCGAGAGAGGGAGAAAAGAGTGGGAGAAAGGTGAATTATAAATGTATATTGCTTAGATAATTTTATATTATACATATGTATTTGTATATATGGAAAGGGAGATCGGGAGAGGGAGGAGAGAGGTGAAGCGAGACTTGGAGAAGGAGGAGAGAGGCGTGCAAGGAAAGACAGTGGGAGAGAGATGAATTGTATGAGTATATAATTGTATATTATACATATATACATTTGTATATAGGGCAAACGAGATTGGGAGAGGGAGGAGAGCAGTGGTGGACCTAGGATTTTCGTTCAGGAGGTTCGAAAAATAAAAATTTAAACATGTAAATAAGTCTTTCGAAATGCTCCCCTTTGAATTTTTTGAATTTAAGCCCACATTTTTGGCACGTTTTTAAAATAAAAAATGCTTGAAAAACAGAATTGATTTTTAAACAAAAATAAACTGAAACTATAAAAGAAAATAAATAATTTTTTTTCTATAGGGATTTGAACATGGGGCATGCAACATAAAATTTAGGGGTTTACCATTGAGATATCGATTTTTATTTGTTGTTGAGGGGTTCAATATATATATATATATATATATATATATATATATATATATATATATATATATATATCATGTATTTTTTTGTTGAGGGTGTTTAGGTGAACATCTTGAACCCAACGTGGGTCCACCCCTAAAGGAGAAAGGCGAGTGAGATTAGGATAGAGAGAAGAGAGGCGAACAAAAGAGCGTAGAGAGTGGGGGAGAGGTGAATTGTATATGTACATATGTTAAATAATTATGTATTATACATATGTATTTGTATATTCTGGCAAATTATACATATACAAACATGACTAATTATATAAATTGAAGTCAAATCACGTAATTAATGTATAATATTAATCGCGAGTGATAATTATAGCAAACTATAACTATGATGAGTAATTAAATAGTATAAGTTTGCTTTGTTGTGTAATTTTCCCAATTAAAAGTAACTAAAAAATAATAATAACAATAAAGAAAACTTACATAAATATACTATAATAAAAAAATATTTACCATTTATAACAATAATAATTTTTTTCACTTGATCAATTTAATTCATTTATAATACAAGTTTAATACATATTACAAAGAACAATTTATCATTCACATATAATACAAATTTTAATGCTGAATAATATATTTATCACACATTTTAATACACTTATAATATAATATGACAATTTTTTACCAAACAAACATTATATATTTCAAAAAACAATTATAATTCATATATATTGCATACATAATTCACTTTTAATACATATTACATATTTAACAAAGTATTGCTATAAATAATAATAAACAAAAAGTATCACTTAAATCAGTAACTATTTTTTAAAATATATCAATTTATGTAATTTTTCCTAACAATAACCCATCAAAGTTAAGGCAACAAATAGTTGACTAAAAATTTTAAAACAATAACAA